AAAGGTTCCGCGGCCCTTCTGCCCGCCTTTACCCAGCGCCTGGTCGCGGGAAGGAGAGAGCGGAGGGCGCGGGAAGCACGGAAGCCCGTCCCCTGCTCCCCAACAGCCCCGACAGGAACCGTCCGGTCGCTGTGACAGTGATCGGTTTATAAACGGGGTTCAGGCGCGGTGAGTCAGCCCGAAGTTCCACTAGGAATGGGCGTGCGCGCCCAAGTTGTTCCCTTTCCACCCGGCGGTCCCCCTGCATCCCCCGCCCAACCGTGCCCAGGGCGGGACGGACCAATGGGGAGGCCGAGGTCCAGAAGCCGCCGCCGGTTCTCAGGTGACACAGCCGTTATTTTCCCACCAGCGTGTGGGGAAACTGAGGCCCAGAGACGGTCAGACATAGCCGATCGGGGCGCGGGGGCACTTCCCACTGGGCAGGGAAGCTCGAGGCCCAAGGGATAGCAGCTGCCCCGTCTTGATGGCACCGGGCCCAGAGTGCAGAGGTCAGGGGGAAACCGAGGCAGGGAGGCAGCGTGGGCGGACGTGCGGAGGTCGCGCCGGGTGCGGGAGCTTTTGGAGACCCGGCCGCGCTCGGGGCGCCCGCAGTTACACCCCCAGCTGCGCCGGGAGGTGAGGCGCACGCCGCGGGGTCCCCTGCAGGCGGCGGGGTCCGCGGGTTCGGGGCGGCGCCGCGTGACACCGGGAAGTGGGGGCGGGGGGTGCAGAGGGAGAGAAGAGGCCTATTGTCGGTCCAGCCCCGGAGAGCTGTCAAAGGAACTTCCCGCGAGGCTGGAACGGGCGCGCGGTCCAATGGGACAGCCACTCGCCACGTGGCGCTATTGCGCACGGAGGACGTGGAATTTCATTTATCTTCGTTTAAATCTAAAACGCAAGTGGCCGCCCTGGCCCGCTTCGCTCAGGGGGTAGAGCGTCAGCCTGCAGACTGAAGAGTCGCGGGTTCGATTCTGGTCAAGGGCACCTGCCTGGGTTGTGGGCTCGATCCCCAGTGTGGGGCATGCAGGAAGCAGCCAGTCAATGGTTCTCTCTCACCATTGATGTTTCTATCTCTCCCTTCCTCTCTGATATCAATAAAAAATAAACAAAAACACACTCACACCCACATACACACACACAAATGGTCGTTCCCGCTTTAAAACCCTCCTCCCTGCATTTAGAATAAAACCCAGAGCCCTCAGGCCCTGTGTGAACTGGTCCCCATCACTGCCTGGCTGCCCCCCAAACTTCTCCCGTCCCCAGAGACGCCCTGTTTGCTGTTCCCCTGACAGGGCCGGGTCCTTTCCGCTCTCAGGCTTCGCTGACTGTGTCAGAGGTCAGGTCGGGGACGCCTGCCCTGCCCCCCCACCCCCCACCCCGTGTATTTCCTCCGCTTCCTGTCACCTCTGCACTGGCCTGGCTTGTTTACTCGTTTCCCGCATTACTACCCCCCTTTCCCGCTCTCCACCAAGGCCCGGCCCAGATCTGTCCCGGCCAACCTTCCATCCTCAGGACCTGGCAACGTCTCAGAGAGGATTGGGGCTCGGCTCAATATTGGTTACATGATGAGTGAATGAATGAATGAATGAGTGCAATCACCTCCAAAAGTGAACCATTACCTCCCTCCTCCCCCCTCCCCCCGCTTCTTTCCTGGGAGAAGATCATGAGGCCGCACCACCCACAGGCGTGCAAGTGCATGGGACAGAAGGCCTGGCGGCCCTGGCCCACCTGCCTGGCATTAACCTGAGCTGCTCCAGCCACGGGACCGGTAGGGCAACCCATGGCGGCCAGTATGAGTGACCGCTTGAGCCTGGGGGCACCGTGAGGACGACATGGGTGACCCGGGAGGAACAAAGGACAGGCAGGAACACGGATGCCTTCGCACTGTGGCAGATCTCTCCCATGCGGCTGCTGACGGGGAGGGGCTCATTCTCTCCTGCTTTATAGGCGGGATATTGGGGCCAGAGAGTGAACCCCCGTCTCAAAGTCCACCCAGTGCAGAGTTAAAACCCGGGACCCTCAGCCAGTTTGGCTCAGTGGATAGAGCGTCAACCTGGGGACTGAAGGGTCCTGGGTTCAATTCCAGTCAAGGGCACGGATGTCGGTTGCAGGTTCCCTGGCCCTGGTCCGGGTGCGTGCAGGAGGCAACCAATAGATGGGTCTCTCTCACATCGATGTTTCTCTCTGCCTCTCCCTCTCCCTTCTGCTCCCTCTGAAAACCAATGGAAACTTATCCTCAGGTGAGGCTCAACCAAACAATCAAAAACCCTGGGGGCCCTTGCCTCTCGGGTGAGACTAAAAGGGACACGGAGACAGGATGTCGCCCTGGGAAGTGTCTCCTGCTTCCGCCCATGGACTTCC